CCAGGTACCTTCTCCACAGTGACCCAGGTAGCAACATATAATGATCATTCCAATTTCACATAGGAGAAAACAAGCTTAGAAAGTCCTGGTTATCGATACACGATTTAAAAACTATGAATATAGGTTCCAAACCCAGACTTTGAGCACAAAATCCTGGTATAATAATCTGCCTTCCTGATTATATAATAACAATAATAACTATTGTTATTATTATATAACTAGCATCAATTTAGTACTTACTGTACACCAGATTCTGTGAAATATTCATAATAATTCTAATTAGCATGACAATTGCTATTATCCCCATTTTGCAAATGAAGAAACTCAAGCACAGAGAGGTTAAGCAACTTGCCCAAAGCCACACAGCAAGGAAGTAGCAGAGCTGAGATTCAAATGCAGACTCACCCTGGAGCTTCCATTTGTAACCACTATACTACAAGTGCTCAATTTTGCAAGTTATAATGTGAGAAAAAAATAACACTAACAGTGCCTAAATATATCTATAGTCTCATGCTTAATTTTTTTCTTTTATATTTTTTGATTCTTAGAGTGTCCTTATATTTTTCTAAGTTTGTTTGTTTTAGGTAAAAACTTAGAAGGAATTCTGTGGCAATATAAAATCACAAAACTTCTAAAACATGCAACAGTAAAAAGAGAACTATAAAAGAGTAGAGTAATATGAGCATTAAGAATCAACACTTGTAATAGATAGACTTAATTCACTTTCTATTTCCTAGAATAAAGGTGAACATTCAGTAAACACTTAAGAGCATTAGAAGTTCATTTTAATGATTCTGGTTTTTAAAAGTATAGAAATAATGGAGAAAGTAGAATATTCATGCAACCTTAGTACCAAGCTAATCAGATCTGCACCCAAATATTTAGGCTCTTCCCTTTGACCTCACATATACCAGAGAAAAATAAAGATAATGATTTGTTTAAAAGCTTCAAGAGTCTCTACCTATGAGGATAAGTACTTGAATAAGAAAGAGAAAAAAAGAAAATGTTTCAAAAGAGGAAGGAAAGAAGATAGGTTTTTTTAAAAAAAAAAGACCAATCTCCTCTCAGAGAGCCTGGTCCATCCACATTAGAGAAAGGATTAAGCAGATACATTCAGCTTTTCTAACAGATTTTCTTTCTCTAAGGCTTCAATACCCCTCTCACACTCACTCAGATAATCACATTAGTTTTGTCATTAAAAGCTCCCTTTTCATAGAATGCACCTAAACCGCTTAAACCACCCAGAGAGGTCGCATACATTATCAAACACCAAGAAGAACGGAAGAGATTTTCTATCTTATGTCTTATTATTTCTCTATATCTATCTGCATGCTCAGAAGGCTAAGCTAAAATATTTGATGAGTTATCAGCTAAAAAATTATTCCAAAACAAACTACAGTATCCTTTAAACCTGCTCTTGAAGCTGAGAAGAAACCTAGTGGTTTTTATGCTGACAGAACAGTCAAATGACAGAGGGGTTCTATTTCCCTTTTCTCTTCTTCCTTGTGTTCTACCAGCCAAGTCCATGATTATTTCTGCATGAATGTTGCAGCTTCTTTTAACAGTAAACAAAAGTAAATGGAGTCTGAGTGTGCAAAGCCCAAAGACAAATTAAAAAGAATGTTACTTGAATTGACACGGAAAATGGCATTTAGTTGCTGCCCATGGATCCTTCAGAACTGTACAAGGTCCAGATAGAATTGGAAATCACCTGCTTTTTTTCATAACCCGACTGTTACATATTATCTCACCATCCTAAGCCTGAGTTACAGACTCAGAAAAGTACGGCTGTTTGTCAGCCTTTAAAAAGGAGGAAGTGTATCAGAGGGAGGAGGAGTCCTGGTTAAATGGAACTATCCAAGTGAAAGAGCGGTCCCCAACGGGGTAATGTCCCAGGGATTAGTGGGTTGGGAGAACAGAGAGGGGGGTCAAGAAAGGAGAAAGAGAATAAACAGTAAAAGAAAGTGATCCAAAGCTAAAAGTCTGGGAGGGAAACATGCAGTAGAAAAATTCTAAAATCACATGGATAACTAGCTACAGGATGAAATTGAAAAAAGAGGCAATGTAAATTTCTCAAGAAAGAAGCAAAAGAGAAAATTACTTTTGATGGGGTGCAGGCAGGAAACAGAATCATAAATATATTATAAGCAATCAAGAATTCCTTAATATGTCAAGAGAAAGGATAACGATGGTAAAAAAAATAACTGAAGATATTGACAAGAACTAATCCTGGATAAAAGAAGTAAAAGGTGATTGTGGGAGAAAGACACAAAGTTATCTTGTCTTAAAAATAACCTTTTATAACAAAAGATAAAAGAAGGATTATATTAAATAAAAAATAGACAACAAAATATTTGAGATGTACTTCACTGGTTTTACGTAATTATCTAGGAGAGTGAAAGATAAAATATTTATTTACATTTATGACTCAACAGCAAAATATCTTATATTACAGAAGTAGGGAGAAAACCAAAGTTAGACTGTTCCCTGTTCCAAATAATGAAAACCAGCTGTATTCCTTTGGCTCTTTTTCCAGATCAGGGGTCAACAAACTACAACCCTAGGCCAAATCCAGCCCACTGCCTGTTTTTATGAATAAAGTATTATTGGACACAGCTATATGTATTATCTACAGCTACTTTCATGCTACAGCTGCACATTTCAGCAATTGTGACAGAAACCATACAGCCTACCAAGCCTAAAATGTAGCCCTTTATAAAGCTTGCCAAACTCTGTTCTAAATAATAACAGAATTCCCATATGTTTTTATCATCTGACAACTCATTTGTTCTCCAAGTGAAAATAAAGATGCAAATGGAATTCTTACTTTGTACACAGATAGAGTACAGAGCTAAATCTGATATTTGTCACATTGTGAGCAGCGATCCACCCAAACCTTCAGTCAATTCTCCACCTAATCCAATGCAGTGCGGGAGAAGATCATAGGCTTTAAACGATGGCAGACCCAAGTTCAAATCTCACTTACACCACCCCTTAATTGAGCTTGAATTTCTACTACATTGTTTCTTTATACATTACCAATTTCAGGTATTTCTATTATAAGCAACAGAGACTAATATATGTGGTTACTACAGGCAGGAAAGGGAGAGAGGGAGGGAGAATAGTGGGAAGTCAGTTAATGGACTCGTAACAGGGGGGTAGGAAAAATAAGTTCTGTGGGTGGACTGTTGAGCTAGGCATCTATAATTAACAATAATTTACTGCATGTTATCAAATGGCTAGAAGAGATCAAATGTCCTTATCACAAAAAAATGATTAAGTTTTATAATGATGAATATGCTAATCACTCTGATCTGATCATCATACATTACATACATGTATTGATATTCAACTCTATACCCTGCAAATATGTATAATCAATGTTTCAATAAAAAAAATTTAAATAAAAAAAATTTCTATTCCACTAATCTGAGATTATACCTCTTTTTCCCACAGTATTTTTGTGAGGATTAAATGAGACAGCGTATATGAAAGTGCTTTGTAAATAGTAAAATAATAATATATATAATATGTTCAACATTATATATAATTATATAATAATAATAGTATATATACAATAACAATAGCAAAATAATAAGGTATTATTAGTGTGTTGACATTTATGAAACTGGTTTAATTTTTCCTCATTATTTTGAGTCAGGTTTTCTTAACATGAAAGAGATCTGCTCTTTTTAATAACTTGGCTTTGTTAAAATTCACTTTATTTCAATACATATTTACCTCCAGCCTGCTATGTGCAAGACACTCATTGGTCCTTCTACTTTTTACATGAAGAAAAATAACTAACAGCAAGTGGACTTGTTCCATTTTAGTTTCAAAGTTTTAAGCAAGGTGTGCATTTAATAGTTCAAAGGGATAGTTAAATTAAAAATGCTTTTGAAACCTGACTCTCATATTACCACTTCTTTTTTCATTTCCAGCACCCATTCTAGATGTAGAGTCAGTTATATTCTCTAAACTTAATCATCAAGTTGGCTAGCCTTTGTTTTTAAAACTAAGGGGAAAGTTCTTTACAAAGGAATGCTTAGGAAGAGCATATGCAACAAAAGAATTTTGACATAAAAAGAAACTTAAAATTTATGGTCTGATGTATATTTGCACTTTCCTGAATGGTTTCACATCCAAAATTTTATTTGATCTTCAGCACAACCATATCCAGCATGTATTTTATCCCGTTCTGCAGAGTAAGACATGGAGGTTCTGGGAAGAAGAGCACCGTGCCCAAGATCACACAGCTGGTAAGCAATGCTTCTGGACCAAACCCTCACCTTCAGGATCCAAGTCAGTGTTCTTTCCTCTCCACCGTGCTTCATGGGGATCACCCCTTCATGATGTGTGTAGCACTTAGAATGCCTTAGCAGCCAGCCAAATCATAGTAGTAATACAGCTGCCATTTATTAAGCATCAATCATGTACTACATATATCTAGGTGTTACACATATATCACAAAGATTAAATAAATTATGTATGCAAAATGCATGGCCTGGGGTTTGGCACATAGTAATTATTCCATCAACAGCAACTATTGGTCTTATTTCTAATTCACACTACTCTGTAATTCATATGTTTTATCTCTATTTTTCAAATGAGGAAAGCAAAGTTGAGAAAAGTTAGGTAACATGTCCAAGATTGCATAATTAGAAAGGGCAAGAACTCAGGATTCTAGCCCAAGTTTAACTGACTCCAGATCCCCTATATCACTGGAATTTTCTCTGATGCTGAAAGTCAAAGAAAGCATATGAAAAAAAATGAGAAGTATGTTATTAAAAATAATGAGAGAGGGCCAGCCTGTGGCTCTCTTGGGAAACTGTCATGTTCATAACACCAAGGCCAAGGGTTCGGATCCCTGTATAAGGATGGCCAGTTAGCTCACTTGGAAGAACATGGTGCTGACAACACCAAGTCAAGGGTTAAGATCCCCTTACCAGTCATCTTTTAAAAAAATAAAAAAAATAATGAGTGAACATTTTTCCTGTTACCTGGATAGGCCAAGCAGGCAAAGGCTGTAAAAAGTTAGATGCATAAGGGTAGTCCACCATTGCCAGATTCACCCAGGTTTCAGAGATCCAGTCTTTCAATTTTCGAATGTCCTGAGAAGTTAATGGATTGCATAAATGAAGGGCTTCGGTAAGCCACTGCAAACCACCACCTGGGAATAGAATCACATTGTTGGAATCTAAAAAGCACTGGTCAACAGGCTTTACAGATCATTTATTAGTATTTCAATATTTCATGTCATTTTTCCAAAAACATTTTTTTCAACATTCATTAAAATATTTTTAGAGCAACTGGATAATCCCATGATAAACAAGTTGCCTATCCTCACGGAGTTTACCAGAATTAGTATTCTGAAGTATTCGCCTTTTTAAGATACTATAGAAATAAATAAATAAAATATAGAACAATGAGAATGCATAAACTACAACCTAAATAAAACAAATGAAAGTATGTAAAAAACAGCACTTTTGAGCAAAAGATAGCAGGAAAGAAAAAGTACTATGAGGGGTCTCCCAAAAGTTCATGGGAAGATTCATATTATCTTTTAATTCCATTTTTCCACAAACTTTTTGAAGTACCCCCACATGCTTCAAGAACAAGCAAAATTAATCTATGGTTGTAGAAGTGAGGATAGTGATTAGCCATGTAGGTATAAAGGTAGAGACTGAAGGGGCCACAAAGTTACTGAGAGATGCAGATGATGTTGTTTCTTGATCTGGATGCTAACTACACTATATACTCGCTTTGTGAAAATTCATCAAGCTATGCATTTTGATTTATGTAGTTATCTATATGTATGTTTGCCTTGGATTGAGTGTCCTCCCAAAATTTGACCCCCACTGTGACAGTGTTAAGAAGGTGGGAAATCCTATTATAGTAGTTGAAGGTTGGGGCCTTGAAGAGGTGATTACATTGCAGGACCATGCTGTAGTGAACAGACTTAAAATAGTCGTCATGGGCACTGTTTGGAGGGCTTTAAAATGACAGTGAATGAGGAGGTTAGTCTCTCTCTGCTCTGCTATTTTCTGCCATGTGATGCCCCTGGGTCACTGTTGCCACCACCGAGACCCTCACCAGATGTGTTCCCTGGACTGTGGACTTCTCAGCCCCAGAAACTGGAAGCAATAAATTTCACTTTCTTTATAGATTACCCCCTTCCAGATATTTTATTATAAGCATCAGAAACAGACTAAGACAATGTTATACTTTAATAAAACATTTACTTAGAAAGTAGGAAGTGTTAAGTTTAACAAATGAAAGGTTAAAAGTAAAAAAACCTCATTCCATTCTCTTGATTAAAGCTTACCAGTATTTGAGAGACGATTAATGGCATCCCAGGACTTGCGGATGCTCTCTGAACAATTTGGACCACTTTTCCTAAAATCTGTAGTTACAATCTTCATAAATACACTACAAGGTACCAAATCCTCAAATTGCCATATAGGGGCAGAAGCTGCAAGAGCTCTAAATGGTAAAGAAAACAGAAAGGAGAAAAGAAAAAAAATGCATAACTCATCTAACACAAGTTTTAAAATGGTAACCAAGATTGAACAAAAATGGTGAGAAAAATAATCAGACAGAAACTAGAAATCTCAATACGATAGAATGGAGCATGTTGTACCCAAAACAAATCTCTAAGTCTGCCTTGACAATCACTAAGAAGTGCTCATGTCTAATAAATGTACTTACCCAACTACCATATGAGGATATTTCATCCTAAACCAGGCTGCAAGCATGCCACCATAAGAGCCCCCTATGGCAATGACAGGTTGATTTTCAGCTCCTGGGATTGTTCTTTTCAAGTGTTTGATTAACTCTGCAAAATCAGCCAGAGCTTGTTCTGATGTCAGAAAATTCAAGCGCCTGGAATCCTAAAAAAAAAATAACAAAGAACATGGGTATAAATATATACATAATAGCAGCTTAGGCATAGCATAGATCCAGAAAAAGAGCCAGAGTCAGATAAGCTTTTCTCCAAATAGAATTTCTAAGCAATGGAGCTAAACTGCCCAGTGTTAAAGCAATAGCTGTGCTGATTTAAACAACTCATGAAAAAATGATTTTAACTTTGTAGAAGAACATATTCTGAATTCAAATGTAATTACCATTAAATAGTATTTCCCAAAAATCTTGTTGAAGTTGTAGAAACAATAGAAATAAACTATAAATAACATTTAACAGCATATATGACAGAATATAAAACTAAGCTTAACGGACAACTCATAACTTTTATTTCAAATCTTGACACATTTAAAATGTTTACCATATAAGCAAAGATAAACTAAATCCTGTGGACAATTGAGGTAAGAATTATCAGTAAAAATAAAGCTTAACCTTCTTTATCAGAGAGATTATGTACACTAACAACAGAAACACACTAGTCTCCCTATTGTAAACAACTATAAAATTGAAAGGCAAAAGAACAACAATTCTATTTTCAGGCCCTAGAAAACAGTCAACACAAGACAATGATCCCTGAGAGAAGGAAAATTCATGAAGTAAGTTCCATGGTTGTCTAGCTCTCTTTGTGAGAACAATTTCCCAACCACAGTGTAGGAAGGTGAAGCTCAAAAAGAGTCCTCCTGAGCTGAGGGGGCCAAAAGCTTTCGTGAAAATATGTGTGCAAATTCTTCACACTCCTTCCTTTAAAAGGTGAAGCCCAATTCCATTGCCTTTGAACTTGGGCTGAACTTAATGACTTGTTCCTAATGAACAGAATGTGGCAGAAGTGACGATATGTAACTACCAATGTTAGGTAATAAAAACTAAAAACTTCTGCACAATCAACAGAGTGAAAAGACAACCTACAGAATGGAAGAAAATATTTGCAAACATATTTGCAAACTATAAATCCAACAAGGGATTAATATCCAGAATATATAAGAAACTCAAACAACATCACAGTAAAAAAAAAAAAAAAGAATCCAGTTAAAAAATGGGCAAAGAAGCTCAACAGACATTTTTCAAAGGAAGTCATACAAGTTGCTAACAAGGACATGAAAAAATGTTAAACATCACTAATCACCAGAGAAATGCAAATCAAAACCACACTGAGATCATCTCACCCCAGTTAGATTGGCTATTATCAAAAAGACTGAGAATAAGAAATGCTGGCAAGGATATGATGAAAAAGAAACTTTTCCACACTGTGGGTGGGACTGTAAATTAGTACAGACATAATGTAAAACAGTATGGAGGTTTCTCAAACAACTACAGATAGAACTACCATATGATCCAGCCATCCCACTTCTAGGTATATACCCAAAGGAATGGAAATTATCAAGTTGAAGAGATACCTGCACTACCATGTTCACCACAGCTCTATTTACAATAGCCAAGAGTTGGAACCAACCTAAACATCCATGATGACTGGATAAGAAAAATGTGGTATATGCACACAATGGAATACTACTCAGCTATAAAAAAGAATGAAATTCTGCCACTCTCAGCTACATAACTGAGTTTGGAGAAAATTATGTTAAGTGAAATAGGCCAGGCACAGAAAGAGAAATACCACTTCATGTTCTCACTCATAAGTGGGAGCTAGGAAGGAAGGAAAAAAGGAAGGAAGGAAGGACAGGCCACAATAATATATTGAACTTTCAGAGGGAGAGAACAGACCTATTGTTACAAGAGGTGGGAAAGGGGGAGGAAGAGGGGGGCTAGGGAGAAATCGGGTAAGGAACACAAAGAATAATCATAATTTGTAATAATGAACATCCTAATAATATTGATTTGATCATTACATATTCTGCACAAATACGGATAGTCAAAAATGTGTGTAATCAATTATGTTTCAACAACAACAACAAAATACTATTTAAAAAGCCAAAACCCCCCCCAAATTAAAGTTAAATAAAGACATGTCAAATAAAAATAAATAAGTAAATAAAAGAATGGTTAAATAATCTATGTTAAAATAAACACAACTGGAGGGATATTTTTCAGGAATAAAAGAATGAGGAAAATCACAAAAAACAACAAAACAAAACAAGCAGCCTAGAAAATGACTGACCTTAAGTTCTTCTAGCTGAGAGTTCCCCAAAAGCATGATATGTGTATGCTGGTGGTATGCAAGATGATCTTAGGTAGAGTGCAAACATTTTTAATGTAACATTTATTATTTTTATTTTAATGTAATTTAGAAAAAAATAATTAGTATATAAAGTCTTTGGTTAAGATAATTCTAAGTTTAAAAAGTGAATTGTTTATAGAAAAATGTTAAGTAAACAATAGTACAAATGGCAAATTAATATAGCCAGAATCACAGGGTAGCGCACAAGTAACTCAGTTGAGAAAAAAGTGTCCTGGTTTATCAGGTGCAGAATCTACGGATGAGGCCAAAGCTCCTTGTGAGAACAGAAAAGGCTGGAAGGGAATCCAAGTGGCCAGTTGGCCTCTGAATCATAGAGCTCATTTGTCCTTATTTTATTAATTATATTTTATTGAAAAACACATTAGACAAATACTATGTACTCATTATATTTTTCCAGTGGCAGGCCCAACAATGTAAGTGTATAGTTTATAAAGCAAAATTGTTTACTGACATATTTGGAACAATGAAACGCTCCCTGCACTGTCTCTACAGCCATAGAATAAGATTTACCTGGCTGAGTTAAAAACTATTAACATTAGAAATGATAATAATATGGCAAAAAAAAAAAAGCCTCTATCTGTTCAAATTATATATAAAAAGGAATGTTTGAGTATAAATTATTGAGATTTTAGGCAGTTCAAATTAAAGGTATCTCACAGTGGGGCATGTAATTAGAAAATGTTCTAACCTTAAAAAAAAATCTTCTAAACTTAAAAGTAAAAAGTATGCTTAACTTGAGTCTGCCTAGTCAGCTCAGATGGTTACAGCACAGTGTTATAACACCAAGGTCAAATGTTCAGATCCCCATACCAGTCAGCCGCCAAAAAAACGCACAAAAACAAAAAGTATACTTACCTTGAATGAGCTGGCACCAAATGGTAGGGATTCTCCATAGTATCGATGTTCAGCAAACACCAACATAGCGCTCAGTTCCTCAGCCACATCCCACATAAACCCCTAGGAAAAGTTTACAAAGTCACGAGAGAAAATCAGGACGTGAAATAAGTCACTGACCCTTTTTGCAAACCATATGAAATAGATGTTAAACCAGACCAAAAAGCACTCTCTGAAAAGTTGCACAATTTATGCTTGTTCTACAAATAAATGGCACAATTGCTGTTTCACTGTTGCACATCAATCTCACACTATATTAATCAAAAATCAACTCAGGTTGCTCATCCACTAGTCACTACAACTCTTCTTATCCTGACACTTTCACCCTAGAATCAAACATTATGTCTAAAATAGTCTTCAAATTGCACTGTGTGCCAGATATTCTACGGAAGAGCTGAAGATATCTAGGTTAGCCAGCTACTCATAGGCATTTGCAACATAAGAGAGAAAACAGAAGAAATAATCCCTTGGGATTTTATATTAATCTTATTTATTGGAAAACAAATAATAGCTAACAACTAATATTAACTGAGTGCTTACAATGTGTCAGGCACTATTCTAAACACTTTGTAAGCATTAATTCACCTAATTATCACAACAATGTAAGAGACAGGCACTTTGATTATCTCCATTTTATAGACAAAGACAGTGAGTCACAAGAGTTTAAATATCCTTCCACATTCACACAACTAGTAAATGGCAGAGCCAAGTTTCAAACACAGGCTGTCTGGCTCCAGAGCACAATCATCAAGTGCTGTCAGACCTACTTGCTCCAACACCTATGGCTGTTCATTAATCAATCATCGCTTTTTTTCACTTACCTCAGTTGTGGCCTAAAAATCCTACTGAACAAAGCATTCTAGGCAGTCAACATCAACCAATTAGATTTAAATTTAGCACAGATTAAAACTATTAGTCATTCCTAGTGCACATTGTTGCTTTTTAATGAGTTGCTACTCCCTAACAAGGACAAAGAACCTCAAAATGTTTTTGTTTTGATCAATAAATGAACAATTAGAAGAGCTGCATGCATATGAGGATGAAGAATTTAACTTACCTGTGATAGTTTTGATAATCCCCCCCTCCCACCTTCTCTCTTTAAAGACCAATTCATTCCCTGCCATTTATCTACAGATCCTGCTACACCCAACTCAAGCATGCCCTCCACTGAGAGCCCCACCCTGGCAGTGCTGATCACTCCCTCCTCTCAACACCACTGTGCTAGGGATAGAGCTTTATTACTGTGCTGCAATATTTGCTTGCATGTGAGTTTTACTTCACCAGACTGTGTGTGCCTTAAGGATAAGGACCATCCGTCAAAACAAACACTCCTCTCTGGAGTTGACCTCAGGCTTTGAGAGAAAGCAATTTAATTGTACTGATTCACATGCAATAAGTGATTATTTGCCAGCATCTATTTCAGGGGTGTTTTTATCTTTCAAAAGAGGTTCATGTAATATATTATCATTTATTAACATTATTTGCCTGTAAGTCCCTTAATCTTGTTTAGTCTTTATGACAACTCTATGAACTAGATGTTATTACTGTGCCCATTTAACAGATGAGAAAACTGAGGTACAGAATAAGAAACTTGCCCAGAGTCACACAGCAAAGTATTAAAACCAAAATTCAAACCTCATCAGTCTGGTTGAAGTCTTCACTCTTGACCACTCTGCTACACTGACTCTAAATAAATGAATGTCCAGAAGTGAATGTGCAATTGGAACATTTTAACATGTAAAGGAAGGTGTCTGGGGCTGGGGAAGGGCCAGGATCTGCTCTTCTAGGATCTGCCTCTAGTCAGTTCTCTGTAACTGTTCCTACACTGAGTATCCCCTTCCTTTCTACCACTTCTGAGAACAGAGATTCCCTGGCAAGCCTTAAGTTCTGCCACAATGCCTGTCAGAGCAGTGGGGTCTGGTGAACGCAGGAACAGCTATCTGCCTATAAGAAAACAGAAAGGAGCTGGGAAAATCACTGGACAGGAGAAGTTCCCCTGTTGCCTTGGAATAAAAGAGAAACCACACATGGAAAAGAAAAGAGACAAGGCACCTTCTGCTGTTTCACCAAATAACAGAGCAGGCATCTAAAAGAAAGGAAGTACTGATTTCATTTGTCTCTGACCTAAAAAAAGTAGACATCCTAGGATTTAATTTCTAAGGGAATTATTTTGTTTCGACTAACACAGAGATGTGAAGAATGCAGTAACAGCTTAATTGGATTCATATCTTTACTTTCAAGTCAGTTCAACAAACATTTCCTGAGGCCTCCTGAACAATACCAGGCACCATGCCAGACATTAGCATTGGAGATAATATGATTCAGTCCCCACTTTAAGACTAGCTTTTTGGTAGAAAATTGACATTTTTCAGTCTCACCACTGAAAAAGAGAATGTCTTCTTTTCGTGTATACTTTTAAATTAAGGAGGTTTTTTTAAGGAATTTAGGTATTATTATAAAAGGTGATAGGAAATATAGTCAGGGAAGCAAGCTGACAAGCTATACTATTTTTAACCCTTACAAGCACATATAAGAAAAATGGCAGAACAAGAAAACTAAACTAAAAGATAGCTACTATTTTACCTTAGTCCATTCCTATTTGACAGCAAAACCTGTATACTTTTTCTTTTGCATTGGCTTTGTTTAGATTTTATTCATTCATTCAACAAATATTTATTAAACACCTATTGTATGCCTAATACAGTCCTAGATTCTGAGAATATAATACTGAACAAACTACAAAAATTCCTGCTCTTTCCTGACCATAATCAAAACAAACTATATGTAATAACACTCCTATGCCCACTTCCCTCATATCCTTGTTCATTATAGAAATAAGCAGGGATTAAAACAAAACAAAACAAAAACAAAACCTTTTGCAACTGAATTTTTCCAAAAATAGTATTTCATTCTCTTCACTTGTAATTCTTTAAGGCTGTAATTCTTTGGTCATATACTCGTATGCTGCAAAACATTTTTTCCAGTTTATCCTAATAAAAGGCAAATTGAGCACTGAAATGTCACAAATCTTCACATACCGTATTATTGCAAAACCAGGTAATGTCCCCTTCATTACCAGTGTAGAAAAGTATTGATCCACCATTTTCCTTCCAGTATTTATCAGCTATTAGGTACCGCTGTTTAAAAGTTTTCACATTATTAAATCCAAAATGATCAACCTATGATAAAAACAAAACAGATAAGACATATTTCAAAGAAAAGTAATTACATAAAAGTAGTTAAATTAATTCTTCCATTAAAATCAACCTATATTATGAAAATAAGAAATTTTAAACTTCATTTTTTTTTTTTTTGTCCTTTTTGAGACCGGCCACACTGTGCTCAGCCAGTGAGCACTGTGAGCGCACCGGTCATCCCTATATAGGATCCAAACCTGTGGTGGGAGCGCTGCTGCACTCCCAGCGCCACACTCTCCCGAGTGCACCACAGGCTCGGCCCTAAACTTCATTTTTTAATTGTAACATTAATATTATTTTGAAATTGTTTTCTTTCTATTGTAAGATAAAGCAATGTTTGTTATTGGTAGTCAAAATTTTCAATGGAAAAGACAAGATACATTATAAAATCAAGTAGCTACTTAAAACATTAAATTGAAAATAGAAATATGAATCCCTTTTTTCTCATTTATTTTTTTAATTGACAAATAAAAATTGTATGTATTTATGGTGTAGAACATGATGCTTTGTAATTGTGAATTGGCATTGTGAAATGGCTAAATCAAGCTAATCAACATGCATTAGCTCACATATTTATGTTTTGTAGTGAGAACACTTAAAATCTACTCTCATTACAATACATCCCATTATTTTTCAAAATAGAGATACCCCTTATTATCTGAATGGACTGGATTGAATTATGTCCCCCCCCAAACTCAATGAATCTTGAATTGTGTACCCCAAGTTTTATGTATTAGAAACTTAGCCCCCACTGTGACTGTTAAGAGGATGGGAAATCCTATTATGGTAAGTGAAAACTGGAGCCTTGAGGGGGTGATTAGATTGTAGGACCATGCAGTACTGAATGGATTAAAAAGGGTGGTTATAGACATGGTTCTGAGTCCTTTAAAAGAAGAGTCGAGTCGGTCTCGCTCTCTCTCTGCTCTCTCTGCTTCCACCATCTTGCAATGTGAGACCCCTGAGTCACTGTCACTACTACCAGATGGACTTTGGACTTCCCAGCCTCAGAAACTGTAAGCAATGAATTTTGTTTTTCTTTATAAATCACCCAGTTTCAGTTATTTCATTATAAGCAAGAAAAATGGACTAATACACTGAATTTTCATTATCCAAACTTTCAATATCAAAATTCAAGAACTAAACAGACCACTGAAAAGGTCTATAAACATTGTCATCCCAGTACACAATAGACATTACAAGTGCCAGGATGTGGGTGTCTAATAAGATTCCTACCAAAAGAAATGAGGGCTTGTTAGTAAAGTGGCTAATTGGCATTTGGGACAAGGAAGCTGTGAGATAAACTCACACATTTTGCTGTACAAGGAAGCAAGGAAGTGCTAAAAAATTAACGGAGTTGTATTTAACAAATAGAAGGCTAACATTTCAATAAACTGAATATAAAACAAACAGCATAAAAAGAATAATGATTGTACTTGATTAAAACATTCATTCAATTCATGAAAATCCATTAGTCTGTAAGGATATTTAAAAAAAAAAGCAAGGAAAAAATTCATTTGCCATCATTTAAAATGTCCATTAAATCAATTCCTTACTTTGAAATTGGAAATTAAAAAGTAAAAATTCAGCATTTAATCTGCCTTTCCAACAGAATTATTTCAGGGTACCAGATAGTCCCAATTGATGAACAAGAACTCTGTTAGTCAAATGTTAGCTAATGCGGAAGAAATGGCAGAATTAGAAAAATGATAGTTATGCAAAGTTACTGATTCAGGCAAGAATTACCAGTTGGGGTGAAAAGCAATAGGAGAATGGATAATATAAAAATGAACATTCAGGGCCAGCCCATGGCTCACTCGGGAGAGTGCGGTGCTGATAACACCAAGGCCCCGGGTTCGGATCCCATATAGGGATGGCCAGTTCGCTCACTGGCTGAGCGTGGTGCTGACAACACCAAGTCAAGGGTTGAGATCCCCTTACCGGTCATCTTTTTATAAAAAAATAAAAAATAAAAATAAATAAAAATAAAAATGAACATTCATGTTGTATCAAAGTAATATCATAGAGGATACTCTGTCACAAAGGGAAAATGTAACTTCACAATTGAAGGATCAGGCTGTCATCACCTGAATCTAGTGATCAATGTTAGCATCATTAATGGTGGGGCAGGCAGGTATTTATATATCTCCTCTTGTGGCACAATATGAAGCGTATATCACATATGATGTATCTTGCCAAAAATGTTCAAGTTGTATCTTATTTCAGCCTTTAGATCTAATTTCCAGGTTCTGGCAAATACAGAAGGTAGAAGAACAAGTTGACATTCTGAAGAGGCAATCAGACAAATCTGAAGGTGGGATGTTTTACAAGACAATGAAAAAACAACAGTTTTAGATTAAATGAATTTCACAGAACATAATAACCAGAAGCAATGCATGATCCTGGATTGGATCCTACTTTCAATAAACAAGATATAAATAACAATCTAGGGACAACTGGGTTAATTTTAATATAAATCAGGTATTAGATGATACTAAAGACTTGTTAATTTAGTTAGGAGTGACCATATTATTTTGGCTACATCAGAAAATTTTAAAAATTTTTTACAGATGTACACAGAAGGATTTGAAGATAGGACATCATGCCATCTGTAATTTACTTAAATACTTCAGCAGAAAAAAAGTGAATTTAAGAAAAGTTTAATCTACATTGAAAGAGACAAACACAAGTGTGAGGAAAGTGGAGACAGACTGGTCAGGCTCCCTCACTTCATATTCAGCTGAACATAACCCAGCATGTCTGTTGTAAATATGTTAACTGTGCATGTGTGCCCAGGTGTTCCTTGGTTATCTGATTCGCACCCAGCTGTTCCTTGGTTATTTGACTCACACCCACGTATTCCATGGTTATCTGACTCTTGTATAAAAGACAATGGCTCTGGTCCACTGGGGGACTGAGCTGGCATCTGAATAAAGCATGTCAATCTTGCTATCAGCTACCAGGATTTTTTCAGTTACCTAGCTTGCGACCTGCATATGAGGGTCTATGACCCAGTCAGCCCGACACTGGGTTTGAAGGGTCTGTGACTCAGCCCAACAAGAAGATACTGAGATTTTGCAAGACAGATAATATAAAACATGTCAAAACAAAAGAACAGCAGGGTTTGCTAGACAGTTAGAGGACAGCCTTATAACACCAAGTTTTCTGTTTCTGTTGCTTGTAACAAAATACCTGGAACTGGGTAGTTTATAAGAAAATGAAATTTATTGCTTACAGTTTTAGAGGCTGGGAAGTTCAAATTCCAAGGAACACAGACACGAAATAGCTCCTCCTGCACTCTCCTTTTAAAGCCTTAATCCATTCACTACTGCATGGTCCTACAATCTAATCACCTTTTCAAGGCCCCACCTTTCAATTACCACAATAGGATTTCCCACCCTCTTAATGCTGTCACAGTGGGGGTCAATCTGGGGGGACACTCAATCAAGTCAAGAGTTTGGATTCCCATACAGGACAGCTGCCAAAAAAAAAAAAAAAATGACAAAACAATTTTAAGCTTCAGTTGAACTTTAAATATACATATTTTATATTTAAGGGTTTTTACCCTTTGAGATTTAACTCACCATTTTAAAATATAATTATCAAATCCTATAACATGGTAAGATTCCTATGCAACTATCAGAATTTACAGTTACCCCACCATACAGAGCCTCCCTGAGACTTTGGGATGATGGCAGCTGAATTAATTCCTTAGTGCTTTGGAGGGACAGGAATGAGAATTCAGCATCTGGTCTGGAGCAGACTATAGGCTCTTCTGGTGCCGTCCCAGCCTCCCTGGGGCAGGGATCAGCTCTGACCTAAACCAGAACCTGCAAGACTTCCCTAGGTCATTCTAACACGGGACTCCCTGCCCCCAGCTCCATGTACACACACACACGCACACTCTTCACATTCATACCACAAGTCCCAAAATGCAAGTGTCTCAAAACTAAACCGAACTGTATACTTCCTGATATCTATGATTGTAAATCTAATGGCTAATGTCAGAATATGCCAATGTAGCCAATTGTAAAGCTACACCAGTTGTTGAGTTAGGCAAATCATAATTAAAGCCAAAATGTTTCGTTATTTTAGTTATACTAAGTTTCCATTTATATTGTCAGGGCTAGGGCTCAGACCTTTCAAACCCATTGTACAGACTAGGCCACCAGACCCCTCACACTCAGGTCCACGCTAGGAAATTGGGGAAAGATCTTGGCAGCCGTTGGCAGATGACACGAGCTCAGTTCTCGGCAAGGGCAGCAGCAGCTTACAGGTCCAGAAGCTGTGGTGGGCTCTCGGATCATCCTGGAGGCACTGGCAACAACAGCCTCCAGCAGCAGTAGCGGCCTCCCCAAGCCCCCCAGGCATCCCAGGGATGGGGTTGCAGTGAGGATCTGAGCCACTCATCCTTTATACATAAGTCTATAACCCAGAACACCTGGATGCACATGCGCCATTACATGAGACAATAACCAAGGAACACTTGGGCGCACGTGCCTATTTACATCAAATGCTCAGCAAGATTCCGAACATGTGAGGGACCCTGACCATTTTCCTATATTTTCCCAACAATGATCATCACCATATGTAGTCCTAAAATATAAGTTATTCTAATCTAAAGCCTACTTTTCATGAAAATAAACAGTTTATGTGGACCGGATAATGTCCATGTGCTATAAACCTCTCCCATCACATATGTTAATTTACTCGATCACTCATTCAAAAGGCTTCTGTTGAACTATTCTGGACCAAGTACTGAGCTAAGCAATGGAATAAAGATTGAACAGCAGAAATGGATGATCTGTTTCAACAAGGGAGGAAAGACTGGCTGTACTGCACTTAAAGAAAT